CGAGGAGGGGGCGCGGGAGCCCCCCCGACAGGCAGCAGCGGCGGGACGTGGGGGGGCCCCCCAGGAACCTGCCCTTCCTGGGGAAATCCTTCTACCTGGATCTGCCGAGCAGCAAGCCGACGCAGTTTCTGGTGGCGACGATAAAGCAGCTGGGTGGGGTGAGTATGGAGGCGCCTGGCCTGCTGGAGCGCAGGAGCAGCTGGGCTCTAGCTCCAGAGGAGCCAAAGGCTCTGGGCTGCTGCAGGAGTGTTGCATTGGCAAGGAGCAGAGTTGCTGAATGCGTTTGGGTGGGATGGTGAAATGGAGCGCCTCTAGTTCAGCCCTTAATGAAAAGTAGTGGGGGGCGAGGGGTAGGCATGCATTCCTGGAAAGCCCCAGACCTGTCTCTTTACCACGTGTGCTTCCACCTGCAGGACTCAGGAAGTCGCAGGACTCTTTTCAAGCCTAAAAGAGAACATCCCAAGCTGCTTATGCTTCTCTTTGTATAGGACCAGGTTTTCCAAGGAGTGTCAGTTCTTTAGGAGTATTGGGTGCTGGTCTCTTTTGGAAATGTAGCTATTAAATGGGAGCCAATTTCTTGAAATCACTGCTACAGACCTGGGTAAATCCCTGTGATATGGCATGGCTGGGTAATGCAGACTATTGCTAATCCATGGTGCATGGATAAATCTCATAGGCATTTACCCAGGTTTGTAGCAGAGACTTCAAGTTACCAAAGGGCCAATTTTTCAAGAACAGAGCATTTGGGGGCTGGATGACACTGGCTGTTGCATGTAAACTGATTCTCAAGTGTCCTAGCTCTCTAGGCTAACCAGTATAATCTGCAAAATATCTTTCAGATGCATGTCATTAATGATCTTGCATGATTGGGGAGGAAGCTTTAAGACTGGAAGGGGAGACATGTCTAGCTTAGACAAGGTCTCACACAGCACTCTTCTTCCACCTAAGCAACTGAAGATGGTGGCTGCTTTGTGTCACTGGCTACCAAGATGTTCAAATCTTGCTGTATTGCTCTGCATCTGACCATGTTTTTGTCTCTGATGCAGGTGATTGAAAGTTTCTTGAGTAAAGAAGTCAGTTATGTGGTTTCCAGCAGCAAAGAGGCCAAACTGGACTGTGTGCCTGGGAAACAGACTGAGACACGGAGCAGTGCAGCTTCAGGCGATGCCAAAGCAAAAACTCTGCCCTCTTCTGTGCCCAAAGGGAGCCGTGGGGGGCCTCATCACAAGCCAGCAGACAGCGTAAGACCTTGGCAGGCTTAAGCCTTGGGGTAGTGGTTGGTGGGAAGCAGAGCGTGAGAGTAGTAGCTACAGAAGTCTGTCTGCCTCGCTGAGAATACCTGTCTGTTCATCTGTCCTAGTTACACTGATCAATAGGCTCTGCCCAACAAGCTGTGCCTCAAGATGCTTAAAATGCTACAAAAGTAAAAGATTTATCTCCAAACATTCTACAAAATGTTCATAGAAATTGGTGCAACTGCCTCTGGGGTGCAACAGCATACAGTGGCATGACACTGCCCTTCATTTACGGTTCACAATCAAAATGGGAAGTGTTAAGGGGGCAGACTAACTCAGCATGACTGGCTCACCCAGACGATTGCTTATCCGTGGTCCATGGGTAAATACCATAGGAATTTACCCAAGTTTCTAGTAGGACATGTTGGCATAGAAGCTGATATTTCTCTTCTGGGTTGCTACAGACTGGAAGCATAGCAGGCCTTGCTGTCTTTGCCAGGCTAAATGCCAGAAGAAATTGTTTGTTTGGCTGATTAGTTTTGCGCTCAGCTAAGATCATAGGGGCTTGTTTCTTGTATAGATTTGCTTCTAATTTCTTCGTATGTGACTTGTTCTGGCACTGTCTGGTGGGATGGATGTGAATGGTGCCCCTTCCTGCTTTGAATGTCATTGGGTTTTGCTCCTGGCACAAACCTTGCTAGAGCAGAAGAGTCATCAGGGAACTGGTAGGATGCCTTCAGGTCCCCTACATAGAACTTTCAAGGAAAGCCTCCTTGCAAGCTCCTGTGTGAGGCAGAGGAAGACTCGATAGATCTAAGCTGAACCTCCCAATGCACCCTGGCAGGTGGGAGGATACCCTGGAGAGGAGGCAGGGGCAAGAAATGAGTGGACTGGGGCTCCATGCTGGTCAAGGGGCTCAGTGTTGCACTTCAGGGCCTGTCTTTCCAATCTTTAAAATCAGTGACTATTGAACTGTTCTTAGTAGAAAAGACCCTGGGCAGCCCCTGTTGAAGTCATGGCCAGCACCCTGCCTGGTAAACACAAAAGGTCAGATGGCTTGAGTCCCACCCACAAACTCCTTGCTCTTTCTCTGAGGTCCGATGAGGCATGTTGCAGCAGGATTCCCCTGCTGGGTATGCCAGTGCAGAGGCCAAATGGCTTCTGTAGCAGATCTGGCATGAGTCCCCTGCTGCACTGTTCCCAGAGCCTGCACTACAGTCTCTAATCCAGGGGTGGGCAGCCATTTTTGATGGAGGCAGCCCACTCCCAGATTTTTGGAGTGGTCAAGGGCTGCATTCTTCCATTATACTGGAGGAAATGTGAGGTCTGGGATGGAAGTTGGGTGCAGAGGGGAGCATGGGGTGAGGGATTGGGGTGCAGGAAGGAGAATGGGGTTTGGGTGAAGGAGGCGGTTGTGACCTGGGGCACTGGACTGACCAACTAATCACTGGATGATTTAAAGTAACTTTTAATTCAGAGAAGTGACTAAGTGAACACATGAGTGGCTGTGGGTTTTAGTTTTACCTATATGGATGCAGGAGGGGGATAGAGGGTTTGGATATGTGGAGTTGGGGGGCAGATGTTGGGGAAGGGAGGGGCTGAGGTGGCAGAGGCAGGCTTTGGCCAGGAGACTTACCTAAGTGACTCCTGACCAGCAGCCCAGCACGTTTCTCAGGAAGGCAGGAAGCCTGCCCTGCCCCCGCACAGGCTGCAGGGCCATTTGTGTGTAAATAACCATGAGCTGGAGGGGAGTGGGGCATGGTGCTTTGTGGCTGCCTGTTGTTCAAACAGGCAGCTCCCATTGGCCAGTTTTTAGCCAAATTGTGCTGGGGCTGTTCCTGAAACCTTCCCTGTCCCCCCGCAGAGCTCACAGTTTTGAAAGAGAAACAGCCCCTGCAGCCATTTTTCTGAGTGGCATATCTGTGAGACAAGGCGAGACCTCTTTTAAAGAGCAGTTGCAGGTGGTGTGGGGCAAGCAGGGAGCCTGCCTGGGGCTCCCCACAGAGTCCGCAGGCCTGATCCAGTGGCTTGATGAGCCGTATTTTGGCCAGGCCTGCTCTAAACCATCATGCTTCAGCATGATGGCTTGGCCTGCAAGTTGAGGGCTACAGATGTCCTTGGCAGACTCAGTCATATAGGACAGCCAAGTACAAAGCCACTTGCAGCTGCTGCCCGGGAGACAGTTGTCCTTGTCAAAATGGTATCTGCAGTGAAGAGCCTGGGCTGGAGAAGGGGAGTGTGGGGCTCTGAGCAAATCTGAGCCTTCTCCCCTGAGAAGGTTAAACCCTTTGTATTCTCTCCCTGGAGGTCAGTAAGCTGGGGTGGGAGTGCCGGGGACATGGTGCGCGATGTCTCCAGGAATCTGTCCCTCTCGCTTTAAAACGCTCTGGGCAGCAGCGTATTGATCCACTTCTCTGGCTGCTCGGGAGCCTTTGGTCTGAATGCTACTTGGCCTGTGTCTTCTACAGGCTCTGATCAGCAGGGGCAAGGAGCTGCTGCAGAAGGCCATGAGGAACCAGGTAAGCAGCATGCTGATGGGCTTCTCCCGCTAAGCAGGTGGGTGCGAGGTGTTGCTGAGCAGAACAGCCATCCGGCCTGTGCCTGAGGAAGGGACTTGGCCGATTACAAGACTCCACCTGGGCCATTGCGAGTGAGTCCTCCATTAAGAAGTGCAGGGCTGTAATGGTGCCTGGTGGTCCAAGCCATTCAGCTCGTTATGGGGTCTATTCCATTCCCATGTGCTGCCTCCCAGAGATGGCTCTCGAGCTGGACAGTAACCGGGAGTCACTTAAAGGGCAAGCTACCCCTGAAAACTGCTACTGAGCAGGAGGGTTGCAGCCTTTCCATTAGGGAAGCCATGGCTTCTAATTCAAAGCTGAAATAAGCTACGTCAATTGCAGTGCTAAAGTCAAAATAGCTTATTTTGGCTTTTGGCACAGTCTGCACAGCTGGAAGTCGAAGGAAGAACACTCTCCCTTCGACTTCCCTTACTCCTTGTGAAATGAGAGTTACAGGAGTCCTGTGTAGACTCAGACTCTGTTATTTCGGAATAATGCTGCTGTGTAGACATGGAACTCTCCCCTTGCTTGTGCAGGACTCCAGCAGTGGCAGTAGCATCCTTGCCAGTGCCCGCTCCTGGGGGGTCCAGATCCTGCATGTGGATGGTATCCTTCTACACAAATTGTATGGGGCCCGGGGAGACTGACCTCTAATCTCTAGCTTCTG